TCCCGTTTGGTGTTTCACTAAATCTTGTTTGCCGATGGACTGGATGTTGACGAATGTGGCCACTAGGATTATGCAGTCGGGTACTGGTTCTTCATGTCTGCATTAATATCAACAAAATGTATTTAGGCCTGCCCATTTGCATTTTTTTACTGGACAGAATGTTTCATCAATACCTGCTCTATGCATAGTATTTGATTGTATTACGTTTGTTTAATAGAACCGGTTTTACATTTTATTGGAGGGTGACACTTTCTTCGTCTTTTTGTTATTTAACGACAAAAAAATTGCACAAAAAGTGAATTTTTGTCAGTGTTGGGAATTTTTACACTGAACGATATGCGCATTTTCTGTCAACAATGAGCGTGATTAAGTGACTCATTTCCCTCGTTGTATATGAGTTGGATTAATTTTAGTATTGTAATAATGACTGCATTTTAGTTTATAGTACAGAGATATGCATCTCCAGAATGTGGTATTTAAACGTATCAACTTTACCTAATGGGAAATTGTTTATACTGCACGCTTCAGTAATGCACACATACATTGCGAGATTTACTGTCAGATATGCTTACAAAAACTTGGAGGAGTTTTCCCATTCATGGAAGAGTGGCATACCCCGATCATGGTCTAATGATTGCAAAAATCTCGTGTCATACTTTTGAGTACCAAAGTAAGACTGTACATTACATTATAAAGACGAGCTATTGGACGTAGCCTGTTGAACTGTGTTTTTCACAACTTGTTTTTATTAAGCATAAATAAAAGCCCAAAAACATAATCGTGTTTCTACACTAATATTGTTTTTTTCTCTCATTACTGTCATTAAACTCTGGAAATTGGTTCAAAGATGGGTAGCAAGGCTTGAATGACGACGCATTCACTCTTAAGGTCCAATCACCCAGAATGAAAAATCTCCCTGGATGTGACGAATATTGTCAGATCCTGGATGCTAAGCAGGACAGTGCCTGGTTAGTGCTTGGTTGGGAAACTGCCTGGGAATGCCAGGTGCTGTCGGCTTCCGCTGTCATGTGGGCAAGAAACATGGCAACACAGCAATGGATTCTTCAATCTATGCAGACATTTTTTGGTATTATCCCTTCACATTCACGGGTAGTTCTTGTGGTGCTTCAGTTTCCACTCATGCCAAATGCTCATTTATGTTCTGATGTTCCTTATTGAAGGTGAAATGGGTGTGTGTATGCCATTTTGCTTTGCTGCCAGGGAATGTCGAAAGGTCACATTGGCCGTGCAGCTTAATTTGTCTTTCCCTGCACATTTTGTGTGATTGATTGCCTTTAAAGCAGGTAAGAGCACATTGAGACCATATGTCTTGGTTTCTGCCTATTTGCTCGGCATAGCAATTGACTGGATTGTAATTCAACTTGATATACAAATCAAATCAAGATTGATATACAAATCAGATTTTTTTTTAAACAAAGCTGCCAGTGCATTCCTTGAGTAAATAAAAACGTCAGGTTTGTGAATCGCACTAAAATAAAATGGTCCTAAAAAATTGTAGGTTATTGTACGAGCTGTGTGGAACCCACCTGCTGGGTAATGACTAGCTCTAGGGGGGGTTAAGGTAATATATTTGGCGCGTGCTTTGTGCAATTTTAACTGCTCATGAGTGGGTTTTTGTTTTCTTATAAGTATTATTTGCCCGACCACTTTTTATCCCGATTGTGCTGTCGGCATAAAGTCATGAGAAGAATCCGTTCGGATCTCGCAGAACGGTGCAACCAGTGTCGTGGTAGTCACGGCATTACCAGTGTCGTGGTAGTCACGGTATTATCAGTGTCGTGGTAGTCACGGCATTACCAGCGGCGTGGTAGTCACGGCATTAACCAGTGACGTAGTCACGGTATTACCAGTGGCGTGGTAGTCACGGCATTACCAGATGGCGTGGTAGTCACGGCATTATCAGTGGCGTGGCAGTCACGGCATTACCAGCGGCGTGGTAGTCAAAGCATTATCAGTGGTGTGGCAGTCACGGCATTACCAGTGGCGTGGTAGTCACGGCATTATCAGTGGCGTGGCAGTCACGGCATTACCAGTGGCGTGGTAGTCACGGCATTATCAGTGGCGTGGCAGTCACGGCATTACCAGCGGCGTGGTAGTCACGGCATTATCAGTGGCGTGGTAGTCACGGTATTATCAGTGGCGTGGTAGTCACGGCATTACCAGTGGCGTGGTAGTCACGGCATTACCAGTGGCGTGGTAGTCACGGTATGATCAGTGGCGTGGTAGTCACGGCATTACCAGTGGCGTGGTAGTCACGGTATTATCAGTGGCGTGGTAGTCACGGTATTACCAGCGGCGTGGTAGTCACGGTATTACCATCGGCGTGGTAGTCACGGTATTACCAGCGGCGTGGTAGTCACGGTATTACCAGCGGCGTGGTAGTCACGGTATTACCAGCGGCGTGGTAGTCACGGTATTACCAGTGGCGTGGTAGTCGCGGCATTATCAGTGGCGTACAACCAACCCTGCGTTTTTAGAATGTCCCACAGACGCAGATATCAAAGAGCTGCCTCTTGAGATCCTGACAAGTGACCTCTGGTCCATAGAGCACGGGAAAGCATCCAACGTGACGGAACGCCAAATAACTTTGATTTAAAGCTTTCGTGACTGCAGGGATTCATATTCTTGGTTATTTCGGTAAAGTCACGTAGAAGGGAAACAATAAAATAATAATAAAAATATAAAACAAAATTAAAGAATTACTTAACGACGGCAGCTATACAAAAATAAAAAGAGATCCCACCAACAGTCTCGTCATACAAACCAACAAAATCATTTCTGATTCAACCGCATTAATTGATCAAACAAACAGTTCTCGTTGAAACCTTCTGCGGCCAGGCCACCAAGATTATAGGAACGAAGTTGTAAACTGAGTGTACCAGCCTGCAATAGATTAATGTGTCCGTCCGTCTCCTTTCAATACTTAACGAAGTGAAATCTCGTGCTGTTGGGGTGTAAAAATAAAATTGCGCAAAATTCCAATGTTCCTACCAGCCCACCCTACAGGGACCTGTTATGGCTTACCAAAGATACATAAAGAAGATGCACCCCTTCGTTCCATCGTCTCAACTATCAACTCGCCCACCTACAAACTGGCACGTTTTTTTTCTGAAATCCTGCGGCCTTTCACTGGAAAAACCACCTCTGCGGTACTAAACTCTACTCACCTGGTATCAACAATCAAGGGTATTTCCCTGTCCCCAGACGACCTGCTTGTTAGTTTTGATGTAGTTTCCTTATTTACCAAAGTTCCTGTACCTGACACCATCGCAATCATTGAAGACTTGGTTCATCAAGGACTAAACACTGAGGTACCCCCCCTGGTGAGACACTGTTTAACCAATACATACTTCACTTGGAATGGAACTTTCTACAAACTGAGGGCACCCCAATGGGCTCCCCTCTTCCTCCGGTTGTAGCCAACGTTTTCATGGAGAAATTTGAGACTGACGCCATCCAGACTGCCACTTTGCGCCCAACATTATGGAAGAGGTACGTGGATGACACTTTTGTCATCTGGCCACATGGCCGGCCTGCTCTAGACCAATTCCACGACCACATCAATTCCATACACCCAGCCATCAGATTTACCATGGAAGTCGAAAAAGATGGCAATCTACCTTTTTTGGATGTCCTAATAAAAAGAGACCTGATGGTTTAATGAGCCACTCTGTCTACAGGAAAGCTACCCATACGGATGCTTACCTGAAACGGGATTCCTACCACCATCCATCCCAGAAGAATTCCCTCATGAAGACTGCACCATAGAACCCAATGCATCTCCGACCAGGAACACATAGCCAGTGAACTCAAGCACGTACACCAAGCTCTTAAGGCTAATGGTTACTCCGACTACACAATCCGCAAAGCCATCACTCCAACCATGAAGAAGGACCCTCTTGAGGAGCCATTCAAAACCATTACTTTACCCTACATTGCGGGGATCACAAAAAATATCTCCAAAATCTTGAATAAACACAAGATCCAGGTCCGATTCAACACATTACATAAAATCCGTGGTCTGGTTCCGTCTGTAAAAGAAGTGATTCCGGACATACAGTACCCTGGCGTCTACAATCTAAGTTGCCTCTGTGGTAGTAGTTACATTGGAGAAACCAAACGCCATGTCTCGGACCGCATTCGTGAACACAAAGCAGACCTTAAACACGGTAGGACCAACACCTCGGCCGTGGCAGTTCACTGTTATAATTCAGTGGGCTCACATGACATTGACTTCTCCAAGACAGAGGTTCTTTGCAAGCCATCTGGCTACCATGAAAGATTCATTCATGAGGCTATCCACACATACAAACACAAAAACAATTTCAACCGAGAAGATGGATTCTGGCTTGGCAATCATTGGAAGGATTTGATACACCATTTCGGGTCTTAATTGATTGTTCACGCTTAAGGTGGCTTTCAGACCGCATTCCATTCTATTCGTCTCCCCCCTCCTCTTTTCCGAACATAGATGGACTCGTCCATCTGAACAAACTGTCAAATCGCTCTCCGTGGTGCTGACGTTGACAAAAAACCGCCACTTTTTTCAAATATTCTTGCTGTGGTTTTCACATCTGATGATGATTGCTTGTGTTGCAGTCGAAACGTCGTGAGAATTTTATTGTTTTATATTTTTATTATTTTATTGTTTTGCTTCTACGTGACTTTACCGAAAGAACCTAGAAAATGCCAAATAATTTGTTTAATCTCAACAGAAGCTGAAAGGACGTGACTCGACGTTATGACGTCACTCAGAGTAATCGCTGTCAAGGAACATCTCGACGTGATGACGTCACATCCTTAGAGCAACACGCTCAAGGGACGCCTCAACGCGATGACGTCACGTCCCAAACAGCAACACGCTGTCAACGGCTCGACGTGGTGACGTCACGTCCCAAACAGCAACACGCTGTCAACGGCTCGACGTGGTGACGTCACGCCCATTGAGCAACACGCTCAAGGGAAAGCTCAACGTGATGACGTCACGTCCTAAACATCAACCCACTGAGGGAGCGATTTGAGCTTCATGACGCCTGCACTCAACAACGCGCTGATGCGGGGACTGGTTGAGCGTGATGACGTCACGAACCCTTCGGCCACGCGCCACGTGGGTAGCACATGGCGCCCGGGCACAGCTGACGGACAGTGCGGTACAGTGGCCGAGCATGTGCAGCATGGAGCGGTGCTCGTGCCTCGGTGGCAAGGGCCAGGGGCTGCGGGCGACGAGAGCGGTCCACCCCGGGCAACTGATCTACTCCTCGAAGCCCTACGCCTGCGTGGTGGTGAAGGGCAGCCACGACACGGTGTGCGACCACTGCCTGGCGAGGTGTGTGTGAGTGTGGTGCGGGTCGCGCGCTGCGCTTCGGGCTCGGCCAACGGAGTTCGATTCCCGCTCACGGCCGACGTCGGTGACGACTATTATCTGGACCGGTCGTGCGCCTTCCCTAGGTCGACTCAGCCTCAGAATGAGTAGCCGGTGCGGTGTGTAGTAAACATCGCCACTGGGGAGACAAAGACGGCTGGGCGTGGTGCTGGCCACCCACCCCCCTCGTGTGCCACAGTGCCGGTAGCCTTCATAGGTGCTCGCGAACAGCACTTGCCCCAGAAGTCTGTCAAGGCTACACGGGGGATCTTTGTCTTTGAACCACGCGGCACCCTCGCGCGTCGGTCTTAATTGCCTCACTCGTCCCAAGTATACAGCCTACACAACTCGTGTAGGCTGTATACACAACTCGTGTAGGCTGTATACACAACTCGTGTAGGCTGTATACACAACTCGTGTAGGCTGTATACACAACTTGTGTAGGCTGTACACAACTTGTGTAGGCTGTACACAACTCGTGTAGGCTGTATACACAGCTCGTGTAGGCTGTATACACAACTCGTGTAGGCTGTACACAACTCGTGTAGGCTGTATACACAACTTGTGTAGGCTGTATACACAACTTGTGTAGGCTGTACACAACTCGTGTAGGCTGTACACAACTCGTGTAGGCTGTATACACAACTTGTGTAGGCTTTATACACAACTCGTGTAGGCTGTATACAACTTGTGTAGGCTGTATACACAACTTGTGTAGGCTGTATACAGCTTGTGTAGGCTGTACACAGCTCGTGTAGGCTGTATACAGCTTGTGTAGGATGTACACAACTCGTGTAGGCTGTATACAGCTCGTGTAGGCTGTATACAGCTCGTGTAGGCTGTATACAACTTGTGTAGGCTGTATACAACTTGTGTAGGCTGTATACAGCTTGTGTAGGCTGTATACACAACTTGTGTAGGCTGTATACAACTTGTGTAGGCTGTATACACAACTTGTGTAGGCTGTATACAACTTGTGTAGGCTGTATACAACTTGTGTAGGCTGTATACAGCTTGTGTAGGCTGTATACACAACTTGTGTAGGCTGTATACAACTTGTGTAGGCTGTATACAACTCGTGTAGGCTGTATACACAGCTTGTGTAGGCTGTATACAACTTGTGTAGGCTGTATACAGCTTGTGTAGGCTGTATACACAGCTTGTGTAGGCTGTATACACAACTTGTGTAGGCTGTATACACAACTTGTGTGGGCTGTATACACAACTTGGGTAGGCTGTATACAGCTTGTGTAGGCTGTATACACAACTTGTGTAGGCTGTATACAACTTGTGTAGGCTGTATACACAACTTGTGTAGGCTGTATACACAACTTGTGTAGGCTGTATACACAACTCGTGTAGGCTGTATACACAACTCGTGTAGGCTGTATACACAACTCGTGTAGGCTGTATACACAACTCGTGTAGGCTGTACACAACTCGTGTAGGCTGTATACACAACTTGTGTAGGCTGTATACACAACTTGTGTAGGCTGTACACAACTCGTGTAGGCTGTACACAACTCGTGTAGGCTGTATACACAACTTGTGTAGGCTTTATACACAACTCGTGTAGGCTGTATACAACTTGTGTAGGCTGTATACACAACTTGTGTAGGCTGTATACAGCTTGTGTAGGCTGTACACAGCTCGTGTAGGCTGTATACAGCTTGTGTAGGATGTACACAACTCGTGTAGGCTGTATACAGCTCGTGTAGGCTGTATACAGCTTGTGTAGGCTGTATACAACTTGTGTAGGCTGTATACAACTTGTGTAGGCTGTGTACACAACTTGTGTAGGCTGTATACACAACTTGTGTAGGCTGTATACAACTTGTGTAGGCTGTATACACAACTTGTGTAGGCTGTATACACAACTTGTGTAGGCTGTATACAACTTGTGTAGGCTGTATACAACTTGTGTAGGCTGTATACAGCTTGTGTAGGCTGTATACACAACTTGTGTAGGCTGTATACAACTTGTGTAGGCTGTATACAACTCGTGTAGGCTGTATACACAGCTTGTGTAGGCTGTATACACAGCTTGTGTAGGCTGTATACACAACTTGTGTGGGCTGTATACACAACTTGGGTAGGCTGTATACAGCTTGTGTAGGCTGTATACACAACTTGTGTAGGCTGTATACACAACTTGTGTAGGCTGTATACACAACTTGTGTAGGCTGTATACACAACTTGTGTAGGCTGTATACAGCTTGTGTAGGCTGTATGCACAACTTGTGTAGGCTGTATACAACTCGTGTAGGCTGTACACAACTTGTGTAGGCTGTACACAAAACTTGTGTAGGCTGTATACACAACTCGTGTAGGCTGTACACACAACTCGTGTAGGCTGTACACACAACTCGTGTAGGCTGTATACACAACTTGTGTAGGCTGTATACACAACTCGTGTAGGCTGTATACACAACTTGTGTAGGCTGTACACAACTTGTGTAGGCTGTTTACAACTTGTGTAGGCTATATACACAACTTGTGTAGGGTGTATACAGCTTGTGTAGGCTGTATACAGCTTGTGTAGGCTGTATACACAACTTGTGTAGGCTGTATACACAACTTGTGTAGGCTGTATACAACTTGTGTAGGCTGTATACACAACTCGTGTAGGCTGTACACAACTCGTGTAGGCTGTATACAACTTGTGTAGGCTGTACACAACTCGTGTAGGCTGTACACAACTCGTGTAGGCTGTATACACAACTTGTGTAGGCTGTATACAACTCGTGTAGACTGTATACAACTCGTGTAGGCTGTACACAACTCGTGCAGGCTGTATATACAACTCGTGTAGGCTGTATACACAACTTGTGTAGGCTGTATACAACTCGTGTAGGCTGTATACAACTTGTGTAGGCTGTATACAACTCGTGTAGGCTGTACACAACTTGTGTAGGCTGTATGCACAACTTGTGTAGGCTGTATACAACTTGTGTAGGCTGTATACAACTTGTGTAGGCTGTATACAACTTGTGTAGGCTGTATACACAACTTGTGTAGGCTGTACACAACTTGTGTAGGCTGTGTACACAACTTGTGTAGGCTGTGCACACAACTTGTGTAGGTTGTATACACAACTTGTGTAGGCTGTGTACACAACTTGTGTAGGCTGTACACAACTTGTGTAGGCTGTGTACACAACTTGTGTAGGCTGTATACACAACTTGTGTAGGCTGTATATAACTTGTGTAGGCTGTATACACAACTGATGCTTGTCTCTGTGTCCCGTCTGGTGCGAGACGCCGTAGTTTAGTGGTTAGCGGAAATACAAAGGCGGCCGTGCGTGGAGCTGATCACATCCACCACACCCCTCGTGTCCCTTCCCGGACCGCGTGGGAAACTCGTAAGGCGACACACGGGAGATTCGCGTCCCGGGTTATCGTCACTACTTCCGCTCTCCACCTATTTTTGTTAGGTCTTGAGGTCTCCTAAGTCTCAATCGCAGGGCCCTCCTGAAAGGGACGATGATATCCGTGGACTGATTGCTTTGTTGTGATAACTTATTTGTTGTTAAATCATTCAATGTAATTTCTTAATTTGTATGTATTTTTCTGAGGTTTCATTTGCTTAATACAGTAATTGTTAAGAGTAGGATTTAGCCCTTCATGCGATTTTGTATATGATTTGTACAATTAGCATGAATGACGCTGTATAAAATTGTATTATTATTTATTAAACAAGCATCTGAATATAAATAACATGACGCGTCAAGTGAACTCCTAGATAAGGGCCTCTCCACGCCGTGTGGTTCGTTGAGGTTATTTGACCATACTTGACCACGCTTCGCCAGTGGCGTTTGGTGCAGGCGGGGAGCATATATCTAGGAGCACAGTACAACATTGTATTTTCCTTGGCTTCCCTCTTGCTTTACAACGTAGCACAACCTCGCAGACGTCCTATGAAACGCTGGAACGCGTGGTGGATCCCTTCCCAACACTGCAGAACATTGAGAAAGAGGCACCACGAATGTTGACAAAACTAATTATTTGGTGATGCTGCGTTTGGCAGTGGTGCTGTAATAACTTGACACAATGGCCATCGACACCGTCTTACTAGAAAACAAATATCGGCGACGTTTTGGGCAATGCCCCTTTTTCATGGCACACATTATTTGTGCCGTGATTTATGTGCTGTGAAGAAGGGGAGTTGACTGAAACGTCACTTATTCCATAAATGTTCTCTTAAAGTAGTTTTGGCGAATGTTAATGAGATCCGCGATGTATCGAGCGAACACCAGATGTCTGCTCCTCTAACATGTTACTAAACGTTGTTACTGGACTTCATACAGCAGTGGACGGATAAAGGCAATACATTATTTCACACGGTATTTCAATGGCATCACCGCATAATTTATTTCTTTTTTAAACTTCCTTCGCGTGGTAAAATGATATGCCATAAACATCAATCACTTAAATCGTGCATAACAATGCTCTAAATAAAATGCAATGGCCTCTCACCCATTTAAAGACAATACATTAATTTGGACAATTTAAAATGTATTGATGACCCAGCGATGCGGATGCTGTTGTGTACAATGGTATTTGGCTGAACATTCTGCGATTCTCTTCTGCAGGAAAGACGGTCGCTTGTTGCGTTGCTCGCACTGCAAGTTTGCCTACTACTGTGATGCATCCTGCCAGGTATCACAACTCAAAACTCACAACATTTGGAGCGCTGTCTTTCCGACAGTTCTGTTTCTTCACCTGAGTACGGCTGCTTGTGTTGTGGCCGAAACGTCGTGAGAATTTTCTTTTTAATTATTTTTATTATTTTATTATTTCCCTTCTACGTGACTTTCCCGAAAGAACCAAGGAGATGAATACCTGCAGTCACGAAAGCTTTAAATCGAAATTTCACAATTCCTAGTCCACCTACACCAGTCTTGGATCCTTGGGACTAGTCTTCGACTTCAAGTCTCGTTTGGGTGTGTGAGCACGGTCCAGAGGACTTTGCTTATATCGGCTTTTCCAGTGGCACATGCAACCTGAGCCGTGGCAAAACCGTGATACACGCCGGCCTGGGAAGACCTCTGAATCTGGCTCGGGCCGAAGCAGAGCCAGGGGCGGGGTGGGGCTAATGATGTGTTTCATTGAGTGTGACGTCCGAACCCTGTGAGGAAGATTAAATATCGTGGCGTCATCTACGTGCGTCACATTGTCATAACGTTACATGTGATGACGTCAGCGGAACAGCTTGGCTGCTACAGTGGAGTAACAACCCTCGTGACCGGCGACGGCCTGCTCCGGCACGGCCCACGTGCCAGTGGAAAAGGGCACCCGGCCTTGACACTGGCCTCAAGCTAAATCCCAGCCTTGGTCTGGGCATTGGGGGCTGTGGGCCTCGTGGGTCCCAGCCATGAATCTAAGACTGACCTACACACAACATGCCCACGTTGGTATGTATTAGAGCCGTAGTGCTGCATCAATAAAAAAATATTCAAAAGCTCACATTGCATGCATCGAATCACGAGTGTAAGGAGCTGGTGTTTCTTGGTTCGTAGATGTTTTATAATACACAGTAATTGGGCATGGGAAGGACACATTGCTAGGAGGGTTGTTGGCCTAATGGACTCAATGACAGAATGGCAGCCAAGGGAGAAAAATCGTCTCGGTGTATGTAGATCCAGGGAGGGGAGCGTTGAAATCAGATTGTGTGGAGGTGTTAGATGGATTGTTACATCACAGAACTGAGAGATGGCAATGGCTTGGAGGATTTTATCCAGCAGTGGATTGATCGTGACTCATGACGACATGCTTAATGCGAAAGTTTTACGTGACCTCCAGCCACGAGAGGCCGTTCCATTCATCACAGTGTTACAATAAATCTACTCGTAAACCCGTAGGCGCGACAATTCATTGAATTGTGAGGGCGGTGAAACTTTACACCCCTGCTGCTGTGTAGCAGATAGTGGGCCGCAAGCTTGAAATCGTGCTTGTGCACTAATCGTGACCCTGCGCATCACCGTAAATACGCTTACAGCAGGCCGCATGCGGCCCACGTGCTGCAATTTGCCCACCGCTGCCATGTAGGCTGACTTGAACGGAAGAAGCTATTTTACACCGGCCGCTGTGCAATGTGGTGGGTGTGCTTTGTCCTTGCAGACTATGTTTTTTTCACAGTGTAAAACACATTCAGTTACATGGCTGCACATCGGGGGTGGTCATGTAAGACAATTTTTTCAGCAGGATGCACAGCTGTCCTCGTCCAAACGTCTTTGCCCTCCGCCCCCACCCCCCTCTCTGATTTTGGCAGTGGCTCAACAAACGGTCAACGCAAAGATTACGCAAATTAACGAGAAAGCCCAGCCATCAATGGGATAGCATGGGAAATAACACAGTGGGCGTGATGAGGCTGCCTCTCTGTTGCCATTGAAAATCACCTGCGTTTTTCAGCTAATTGGGTGAAAACTCGGCCTGGGTAGAATGCTCGGCGTTACGAGATATGGAATGAGGAAAGCACTTTTCCTTATGCACCCAGTGACCAATACGCTTTGTAAAAAAGGAAAACAACAAGTTTATTCAAATGATCGAGGCTGTATTTTTCATCATTATGTGACGGCCTTGGTCAGTATAAAGAGTATCTATTATATATCAATCTTGGGCATTTGTGCTGTAAAGGCACACATGGTTTAGAAATTGTTGAGACTCACATTTTTTTGGCAGTCGCACATGAATCACACACATTCAGCGTTCCCACAAAATACGATATACCACTTGCCATTTTAAATGTCGGAACTATATAAAGTCCCAATGTCTGCTGAATTCACTTTGCCAGATTGTCACTTAATTTGTAATTTTGGGATAAAATAATAATAAAATTGGTTATCTTCAGTTGGCCTTGTTGTAAAAACACATTCTTGCAGAGGGAGCTGGTAGGAACGTTGGGTTGTTCGGTCAATGGCCAGGGTCAACGGCGGCACCACGTGGTGTATTCCGCAAATATGCCCGACTGTGAGGGCGGGCACAAGCCGGCGTGAGTAGGTTACACGTTGAGTTTTATAAGGGCACCACGGGGTGACCAGCCCCTCCCCACCCAGCCCCACCCCTCCCACCTCCCACCCAGCCCCTCCCCTCCCACCCCCCACCCAGCCCCTCCCCACTCTCCTCTCCCCACGCAGCCCCTCCCCACCCAGCCCCACCCCTCCCATTTTTGAATGCACGACGGACGGACCGACACAATAATCCCCTGTGGGCTGGTGGTGTAACCAGGAGGTTCCTACAAGTAAAAATGTTTACCACATTTAGTTTTGTGAAATCATTACTTATTATCTTAGTTTCATATTTAATAGGCAAATATTTTCATGCATCTAATTGACAATTAAAGTATTGTAGATATTTATTACAACTTTGTGGTACTTTGTAGCCTGGAATGTGTAATGTCCATAGGTTTTTGGGTTGCACTTTACGAAACAAAAATATCCCAAGTCATTTGCAATTAAAGTACCTCTTGCGTATGGCAATTATCCAGGAGCTACATACCACTGTTGAGGTCTGCTAATCACGAGGCCTTCATTTGAGAGTTTGTGTAGTTTTGCGATTCTATATGATTAATAGATTGTGTTGTATGGCCACTTGTCCATTATTAAATACCATGTACACTTTACCCCACCGGATACCAGTGGACAGTGTGGGTCCTCCCGGCCTCTGCAAGGCATCTGGCCAGCGTGGAAGTTTGTCAAAATGCTCCAGTGGTTCTCTCGAGCTCCCTTTAATCGAGGCCTTTCCACCAGCAAGCACTTGCAGGGCTGCACCTTTGCCTGTTGTGTCGACGACTGCAATGGCTTAACGTCGCACTGCGTAATTCAATAAATAAGGCATTCAGTCGCATCTGTGGTCATTTTTTAGTGTACGTTTTTTTTAAGCCAGCTGGCCAGGATCGCCATGTGTTGATGTTTGGTTTCCTGGTTTCAGAAAGGCGCTTGGACGGAGCACAAATCTGAATGCCGCTGCCTCAAGAAAGTCGCTCCAAACATCCCCACGGACATGGTGCGCCTGGTGGCACGGATTCTCTTCAAGCTGGTAAGCGCCGGGCACCAGCGCGCTCGCTGTCGTGCGGGGATGGCCCCGAGAAAACAACAACAACAACAACGGATCGCACAAAACACGAGAAAACAACAACAACAACAACGGATCGCACAAAACACGTGTGTGACAGTCGGCTCTGCGATGTGGGTTGTGCTGCGAAGGGGTTACGGTATTTAGTCCGGTTTTTATTGCTTGTTAAAATTATCGGATTACTTTCCGACGTTTGGCAGCAAATGAGGCGTGCAAAAATTGACGTTGGATTTGAATCTGCTGCACGCAACGAGTTCACGTGGTGATCGCTTGCGGCGTCCGCCGTGACGCCGCTGATATAGCCTGTCCATCGAGTTGAATTGCAACCCCGAAATTGTGTCGATCTACGAATTGCGAGGCACGGCAGAGCATTGCGGTTAATGCTTCTTGTCGGAAGGTGGTGGAGTACGAATGGTGTGCCAACTGCAGTTCTTGTTTCAAGTGTCTCCCATTTTATTTTGTTTAATCAGAAGTGAGGCTTTTAGAGAGGGGCCAGGATAGTTTCACCGGCAAAGTTACCTGGTCACCAAATTCGCAAATATAAAAACAAATAAAATGCAGTAAGCATTGAAGCATATAGACATCGGAACAAAAGCTAAAACAACCGTCTTATTGATTCTTTCGGTAAAGTCACGTAGAATTGAAATAAAATAATAAAAATAAAGCATAATAAAATAAAATTCTCAGGTGAAGAAGGCTACTTGTGTTGTGGCCGAAACGTTTTATTTTTATTATTTTATTTCCATTCTATGTGACTTTACCGAAAGAACCAAGAAGATGAATCCCTGCAGTCACGAAAGCTTTAAATCGAAATTTAAAACAACCGTGTTATATGAAAAATCTAATATATTGCACAAACAAATTTGGGTGAAATAAATGTTAAATATTAAATTTTGTGCAGCACAAAGTTGGTTTGGGCAGATTATTTTTAGGCTGATCAAAGTATAATTACAAAATTAAGCATTGCAAAAACATGAGAGAGATGTCGGATGACAACAGTACTGATATGTAAGCAGACACAAATTATGAGTCGATGCATTTTCTGGTGACGTTATGATCAACCTGCTTGTTCTTTTAGTACTGAAAATCAGTATTGATTGTGTTCTTTTTCCATGCTACAGAGCCGTAGCAAGCTGGGCAGTAGTGGGGTGTGAGAGTGAAAAAAATATACATTGGCAATTTCGTGGGCATGCTTTTGGTAACAAACTGAATGTTTTATTACGCCATTGCACTTTGGTATTACTTTGAAAGACGGAAGGGTGAACGCTTGCTTTGGGAGAACATACACGGGTTAATTACGATATTGAAACTGTAAATCAAAGTACACGGCCATGGGCAGAACACATCATAGAGAAGAAATGGTGACCAATAGACACGAATGATAACGGAGTGGCAGCCAAGGAACGGAATGGTATGCGGCCGAGATTTCGACCCCCGAGGAGATGGAGTGATGAAATCAGCTTGTGTGCATGTGCTCAGTGGATTATTATATCACAAGGGTCATGAGGGCTGCTCGTGGGATGGGAAGACCTTCATTCAGCAGTGGATTGATCATCGCTGCTGATGATTATGAAATTGCACTTTGTATCAAGCTGGTAATGTTAAGTATAAGTTTGCTGGATCATTATTTTTCACTCATATAATGCTTAGTCAAGCATTATTGTGATCCTGCCTTCAGGTTGTGAACAGATTTAGACTCAAGGCAATTGATTAATTCATACACGACATCCATTATCTATCGGGGGGGAAAAAATATTATTTTATTATATACCCAACAATTAAATCCCTTCTCCAAAATATGTAAATGTAGTATGGGGTTTTTCAAAAATTATTATAAATTAACTGGTTACGTGCTGGTGTACTTTTGCATACGAGCAACTAATCTTTATGCCAACATTCGAATCGGTACAAGTAATTAAAATGTGAAAACTTAATTAGTTTTTTTTTATTCAGGCTCGGCTGAATTCAAAGCCATGCCCATCAGAGGAGTTCTACTCACTGCAGCAACTGCAATCTCGTAAGTGGTGCACTGTGCCTTGTTTCTCTTCCTTCATCGCCTTCGTTTGTTTGACTAATGTGTATTCTTTGGGTCTTTCGGTAAAGCAAAGTAGATAGAAAAATAATAATAAAAATAATCACCATATCACTAGTGATGTTGTGATTATCACTATCACTAGTGATATTGTGATTATTTTTATTATTATTATTTGAATCGGTACAAGTAATAAAAATGTTAATAATAATAATACAAAATAATCACTATATCACTAGTGATATTGTGATTATCACTAGTGATATTGTGATTATTATTTTTATTATTATTCACTAGTGATATTGTGATTATTTTCTACTAGTGATATTGTGATTCTTTTTTACTGGTGATATTGTGATTCTTATTATTATTCTTTTTCTATCTACTTGGCTTTACCGAAAGACCCCAAAAATATGAATTCCTGCAGTCACGAAAGCTTTAAGTCAAGATTTGACTAATGTCTTTATTTGGCTTACGGCTTCTTGGCTGTTACATTTCTAATTATCTCCGTACCTGGCTGTCTGCCTACATGCATACCTCCCCGCCTACATAACTACTCACCCGTGAATATGGTGTACAACTATTGATTGATGGAAATAAGTCTGTCATTCCACTTCTAACTCCAGAATGGGGCTAATCAATACACCAAATACGAGCAGAACATTTTACCCCTTCTAAGATGCAAGTTTGATTTTTTTTGAGACCATGACCTGACCCTGACAGCGGACAGAAGCCTTGAATTGAGTATGGAATGGTTGGTTGTGATTGCTCGCTCTGGACAATTGGGTTTATGCACATCAATATTGCCTCCCCCCTCACCCCACTGTGAAACTACTGCGGACTCCGTGAAACATAGCACCTTCCTTCATTGCCTGATTTACCAAATGCACCAATTTATTATTATTATTATTGTCAACATATGAGTGCTCGGCGAGGTCGGATATGCGACGTTGAACTTCAACTTGCTGAAACGAAGCACACTTTTGCTGTGCATGTGCCATGCAGACACTGACCAGATGAGTGAACAGATGCGGAACGGCCTGGCACTGCTTGCCAACACCCTGCGAATGTACCTGGAGGGGGAAGACCTGGACTGGAGCAGCCTGCTTCCTGCCGACAACGTCATGCAGCTGCTCGGCAAGGTGCAGCAGACACGCACGCCCACGCCCGCTATCCCACAGCACCCTTTACCAGTGAGAAAACTCCACGCCAAAATGTGTCTTTACGTTACTTAAATACAATGTGGCTTGCTGCCACGGTGTTAAGGTGGGGGGGGGGGTATGCTTGATTTGCAATCTGGTTTGAATCTCCCGGGATGCCAGGAGTGCTTTACCTCTCGTCTCAAATGAAACATTTCAAAGGGCACCCACGGTGGCAACTGCCCCTGCGGGCACAAGATAACTCGGCACAAGATGACGCGGCATCTGCCTGAAAGCGGGGATTCGTCTGCCACTTGTGGGCGATGATTGCTGTGTGTTATCCCAATTTCGTAAATTGGCAGTGTCATTTTAGAAGTTGGCCCCCCTGACGCTGCCAAACAAATGCCTACTCTTGCAAACTACGTCGGGGGGATCTTTAACATCCATTGTGAAGCACATGGTGCATAGTGGTGTTATGCATATTATTATTATACCTGCCATGTTAATCAGGATGACAGGTGGATTTCAACCCCGAACCTCTGCAGAAGGTGGCGAATGCACTACTACATGGCCACGTCCCACCACCCCCTGTCCACCCAGCACTATATACACGGCTACAGAGTTAGTCCATCAGCTGGTCATGTGTGGTGGGGTAAAGGATGGGTACTCCAGAACGCGCCTGACTTTTGTGGAAGAGTAGGCCAAATAAATCCGAGATAGAAATGCTTTAGAGCTGCCTCTAGCAGAGGCCCCTTCTTCCAGCAGGGGTGTGAGCAACCAATTGCAGGGCTGCACCTTTACCGCTTACATATTTAAAGCCATGGCTAACCTGGGGTGGAATTGTTGTGTGCTAAATATTTGGTGAGACCATAAATATGAATTTTGTATGTTGTATGCAAATGCTGCTTGGCATATGGATTATGAGAGTGATGATGATTTATTAATAATGCTGTGGCAGAATGAGAGGCATTCTGTTGTGACGCAAGGAAAAACCTGAGTTATGCGGTTGGGTTCGAACTCGGGACCTCCCGCCAGCAAAGCGAACACTAATCCTTAGAGACATCCGTCCCATGCAATTATAGATGTTCCATTTCAAGCGAGGCGTTCTGTCAATACAATAAAATGACATTAAAGGTAGTGAGCAAAGAAACAAATAAATAAACGTTAAATGTTAAGAAAAGACGATTCTAAAAATTGGTCAGATGATGACAATTTAATATGCAAACGTGCTTTGTTTTATTTGAAATTTTAATTCTTGGGACACGTCATTCGCAGCCTAATCCAAATGGAAATGTGGCCATCTGGAAAACGCGTACATGACGGGAAGGTGCTAATGGAAAACCCAATAGGGGCGCATCAGAAGGTCATTGAAAGGCACAGAATTAATCGGATAGCACCTTCCCTCGGCAGCGCCGTGCGTTGTTTGGCGCCTGTGCGATGCGCCGCTGTTCTCCCCGCGATGCTCGTTATGTCCCGCCAACATTGTCGGTGGCCGCCTGCATCGCCTTGCGGCGTCCCAGGGTGGTGGTTCCGAATGGGGAGAGCGCTTTGTTGTGTTCATTGCTCCTTGCCCATTGTTTCGCCTTCCCAGATAACCTGCAACAGTTTTTCGGTGTGCGACGGCGAATTTCAAGATCTCGGTGTCGCAATTTACCCGAGGTTTGTTTCAGCAGTGAATATCACACGCGCTGGCTTTTCATATATGGGGAATAGACTACCATTTAAAACGAGTCTACAACGAGAATTTCCTGGCTGGTTCCTCGCTGGCTGCTTCTCCACCCTCTCAACAGTAACTATTGTTAGTGACTGTGGGCGGTTGCCACACAAGCTAGCCGGGTAACTGGCTAAACGGGATTTTCCGTGTAACAAATAAACATTGACTTGAAACGGCGGGAGAAGAAGTTTGGAAGACGATAGATAACAACACCGAAGAGAGCGGGACACAAATACAGAAGACTTAACAACGGTTAATTAACATTTATCATTTCAATTCGTGTTCCTCTCAATGTAATTCTGTCACCGGAATATGTGAAGAATAGAGAATATACAAAAACAACCTAACATTATCTTGGCATTTCTCATTACATAAAAAATCAGGTTACTTTTAGTGCTCTGAGTACAGGAGGATTGTGAGAGGAGTGAAAATGACAGCTGCCTCATATTTTCCGATGCAGAGCAATGGATTTTCCACTCATAATAATAAAAACATTGTATTTATTTTTTTATAGTTTGCTGAATGTCATAGGGGATTTTGCTATTTTTCTTTGCGAACTCGAATTCAAATATAATTTCGAAGTAGCGTGTCTATAAACGGTGGCACGGTGGTTTGTTTCTGATGAGGAATCGCGGTAGAAAGGGGCAGTGTGGGGTTCCGGTGGGGAGAGAAATGAAGTGACGTTGTGCGTCGTACAACAAAGAGAAAGGCCGTATATCAGAAAGACAAAACAGAATGCCCTTAGTGTCCTTATCAGTGCGAAATATACAGTTGTTTCTCAAGTGGCGACTCGACAAAAAAAATGGTCCGTTGATTTATCCTATAGATTAAAATGAATTGAAAACGGCACTTTGTGGGGGGAGGGGGGAGGCAGTGCTGGCCAAGACTAGCTTAATGTGAAGTGCGCCGTTTCTCTTGAGCGGAGGAAACAGCAAGATCCGAGTGCGTTGTCTTCCCTGGGATGGAAGCCCTGTATCAGTGTGCATGTGTGCGTGCGTGCGTTCGTGCGTGTGTGTGTGCGTGCGTGCGTGCGTGCATGTGTGCGTGTCTGTGCGGCTGGCAGTTTGTCTCTGCTGAACCACAGCTGCGACCCGAGCTGCGTGGTCGTCTTTGAGGGCTCGATGATGCTTCTGCGAGCAATGCGGGACATTCCGGCAGGAGAAGAGGTACTTGGATCGATATGGGCCATGTGTTTGGGAATTTTGAGTCGTATTTTATTGTGCAGTGTAGCGAATGGCACGCTGCCATTGTGGAAAGGTTCACAAATACCGGACTTGCTTCGGCGGTTTGGTCTCGTGGTGAGACGGTTGAACAAAAATGGCCACTTTATTTTTAAATCCTCCTGCCCTCTGTCCGCTTAGCGGTATAAATGAGTGCACGGACATTTCGTAGATCGGCAGCTGCGTGTGGGTGGGGTAGAGTGTGGGTTTTCCCACAGTTTCCAAGACGTCTGCCCAGCGTGGGAAGAAACTATAGGTTAAACAAACCTCTGACAGGGGAGACCCTTCTGCCAGGTCGTGCCTTGAGGAAGCAGTTACAGGGCCTAAACGTTTTGCTGTGATAGAATGTAGCAACATAGCCTATGACAAAATCTTCCAGAGGTCCGCCCTTATCTCATTTGATCTCGGTAGCCAAGCAGGGTTTAGCCTAGTTTACTGCTTGAAATGGTAACCACTAATTACATTTCATTGTGAAGCTACTGAAGCGATGCAATTTTTTGCGTTTCATTGTCCTTCCCCGGCGGACCTCCGATTTTCACGCTTGGCTATGCACGGAGCAAAAGAAGTTCAACATACAACCACCTAGGATAAAAAACAGGTCTTGTTGATATTCTTAGCTCTTTCGGTAAAGTCACGTTGAAGGGAAACAATAAAATAATAAAATATATATAAAAGAATAAAAATTCTCACGACGTTTCGACCATAACACAAACGGTCATCATCAGGTGTGTCGGTTTGCATAAATTTAATTATTTTTAAACGGTGTATTTATTTATAAAAAAACGTCAGCGCCATGCGAAGCGATTTGGCAGTTTATTTAGAAGGACTAGTCCATCTATTTCTCTCTATGATGAACTAGTCCTAAATAAACTGTCAAATCGCTGCGCGTTGCGCTGGCGTTTTTAAAAATATATAAATAAATACACCGTTTAAAAATAAACAAATTTATGCAAACCGACACACCTGATGATGACCGTTTGTGTTATGGTCGAAACGTCGTGATAATTTTTATTGTTTTATATATATATATTTTATTATGTTATTGTTTCCCTTCAACGTGACTTTACCGAAAGAGCTAAGAATATGAATTACTTCAGTCACGTAAGCTTTAAATCACAATGTAGGTCTTGTTGACTTGCTGTGTTGTCGACTTGCTGTGCCTCCCTGCGATCGTTTCCCCGTGGTCTCCCACTGCGCGTCCACAGCTCTGCATAAGCTACATCGACACGCTGTCTCCGAGCCGCACGCGCAGGCAGGAGCTGCTGCGGCGCTACTATTTCACCTGCCAGTGCAGCCTTTGCGAGCAAGGCCTGGGGGTGAGTTTCCGCACGCGACGTCGCTTTCACCGGGCCGCGCGATCTCCGTGGCCGTAGCGCCGGCGTCCGCCGGCGTGTGGTGCCGCAAGCTCTCCGCGGTGCGGTTTGACATCGCGGAGCTGCGTGGTTTCTCGGCTCCGACAGTGGGCGTAGGGGCACAGACGTATTGGGACTACACATGGCAACACTTTTCCCCAAACTGTGAAGCTACTGCAGACTGTGAAACGTGTGCGGCGTCTTCCTCCGTGACGGCCGTTGCGCTACGTGAATGGTGGCAATACCAAACGTACTGAGTTTGTTAATTTCAATAACAACATACTGTCATTACCAATGAAGACCATTTTTGTTCACGTGCCATACTTAATATGCAGGATTTGCAGTAAACTGTCGTGTACCTCCCATTTTCATTGCACAAGTGCATTATATGAAGCCTTTCTTGTGCCTGGTCAACATCGTAAAGCAGACCTTGAGATGCAATTAAAATGAACAGTGGTAGTTTTGAGCTCCTTTTGAATCCATTGCTGGATGAAGGCCTCCCCCCATCCCGTGGGGGTTATTTGGCCACGCTTCACGGCGTGTGGTCGGTGTGAGTGGAGGTGACGTTGGTCTGCTGGGAGTGCGGGGGGCGGCAACGGTTGTCCAAGAGCAGTTCAGATGTCACTTGCCACCGATGTCAGCCATGGGCAGGAATGGTCGTTGGGTTCAAAGCGCGGTGCGTGAACCACTGCTCCCCGCTGTGCCCCCGTAATCATCATTTGTTGTGATTAATTTTATTAAATTCCCTACATCTGTTTATTTCATTGCAGGATACGGACATGGAGAATGGTGACAAGGACGTAGTTGAAGCCATTCGAAGCCTCATGTTGAAAATCGATAAAGCAAACGCTGATGTCAGTACGTTGTCTTCATTTTTCCATTTCGAAACAAAACGCCAACCACGCTCTCAGCTGAGCTTACAGCAGCATCGGTAAACGCATCTGTACACAGAACTCCTGTGTTTCCACGTGTAAATTAGAACGTTATAATCCATCAACCTTTGCAGACCAATGTTATCCAGCTACGTTTGTTTAAGCAAGCGAGCAAGCCCTCTACTGATTCTGATCTTCTGGGTCTCATTGGCCGAGCCATTCTTGTTAAACCAATGCTGCCAGATTACCATACTTTATTTGCAAGAGCACTGTGCATAAAATGGGTCGCCGTTCAGCACAGTAAGCAATGCCATACACACTCGTTTTGTGTTTCCGCAGCGCATTGTGTAAAAGAAAATACAACCATCATTCTGATCTTTCTCTTTGTCTATGCGCGTGATTCTTTTGGGGGGTTATACGAACGCACGGCTCTCTGCGTGTGCTCGTGGTGCGTCGTGACTTGATAAGCCATTTCTTTGAGCTATCATTTGTGGTGGGGTCACTTCTGAAAAAGAAGCTTATAGCTCGGTGAGCTATTCCTGGTAAAATAAAACTAGTTTTAGTTTTTTTTAGTGACGTTTACCCTTCCTATACTTTGCACTCCCGTAGTGTTTTCCTATTATTTTGTTGTAACTCTCTGACCCGCCTCTACTGGACATCTGTGGAAAAGGGGCTTTATAGCTCATCGGATTCCTCGTGCAGTATAAATCAAGATGCTGCTGCTCGTGGTGTTGATGGCAGGTCAGCAGGAGGCTCTGGTGCTGTGCGAGGCCATGCTGCAGAAGGCAGCAGCTGCGCAGGTCCCCAGCAGCAACGTGCAGTACCTCAAGTTGCTCGACTACGTGTGCAGCGCCTACATTGACACCCATCAGTGGAGCAAGGCACTGAGTTCTGCGCGGGAGGCCGTGCCCTTCTACAGGTGGTTTTGGTTTTGGTTGTAGTTATGTTTTGGCCGTCCGTCGTGTGCCCGTTGATAAAGTTGCCGATATTTGTTCTCGAAGAAGAATTTGTTTAAATTGTCACGGATTTCTGTCGTATGTATATATGTATGTTGCACTTTCGCACAGTACACGTAGCCAACCGCGTCAATCGGAGGTGTGGGGGAAGGATGACTAAATGCAAAAAAGCAGTTCTAGTTTTCAATTTATATTTAAAAGTGCATAGCTCCAGTGGCTTCCTAATAAAATGGAATTGCTGGTTTACCAATTCAAGCACTAACTAGGCCCAACCCTGCTTGGCTACTGAGATTGAATGTAATGATAACTCGGCTACATGAATGCTGCTGTATATGGTTTGGGTTTTAGGTTTGGGTTTTATTTTGGATATGGGCACCACGTGCCTTTGGGAGAGTGGGGCCAGAACCTTCACCTTCCCCCACACCAGTGTAGCAACAGGTGACCACACGATTGTTGAGTTGTGCGATTCAGTTAAAATATCACTTTATGACAATACAATATTTAAACCCAAAATGCACTGCTCTTCTATTCTCGTGCAACAAAATACAACACTTGAATTCACGCGTATGGCAACGTCGCCGTCGTCGACGTTAACCACGGTCGACCCACTGCCGCGGGAGGGCCTCCGCGGTCGGCCACCGTCGTTCACGCGCCTGAGGATGCCATCAATAATTTGACCCTAGCACCTGCGCTCGAGCCGCTTTCATCGCTCCCGTCTCCTCGGTAGGAACAGTGCATTTGTCTACAGCTGCAATTTGCACCTCTTGTAACAACAACAAAATGATGATGATGATGAGATGATCGCCTGCTTGTCATTTTCGGAAATGACAAGCAGGCGATTGCCAAATTCAACTGTGGCAAGAGCATCCGCTTGAAGCCATTGGTCCACAGTGGTGTGAGAGCACGTGAGATGCTGTTGTAGCAAGATGCTGCTGCGACGAGATGCAATGCCGACAGAAGTCCATCGTGGAATAGAATTTTTTTTTTTCGACAACAGTAAAAATGTGTTTCCCCTACAGACCTGGTGCTTCGGTGAGAATGGGAGGGGGGTGTGCTTTTGTTACATCAGGTGTGCTGTCCAGTCGGGGATTTTCTCACGGCGTAGGATTTTGCGACCAATATTATGATTCGTCGCTGTTTTGTTTGGGTCGGATCACGTAAATAAAATGTGTGTCGTCATCCCTCCTCCGCCTGACGCAGCTGATTAAAAAAAAAAATTGTCACGTGAACAAACGTTGCAGTTTATTACTGCTTCAGCATACCGGTGTGTTGGAGAGCAATCTGACAACAGTTGACCAGTATCACCATGTGAACGTTTACCTTATATTAACATTTAAACTATTCAGTGGTGCGTATTCATAGAACTGTTTTGCGTCAAGTCCTATTTATAAATGTGCGTGTATTCACGGTAGATATTACGTAAATCGCAATGGTTATGTGGGATCCTACATACTTTTCTGTACTAGAATACAACATAAATTTTCTTGAAAATGTGATATTCTGCAGCACTTTTTCTGCCGAAGTTTGTCAGCAATGTGGCTACGTGTGTGCGTGTGTGTGTGGAAATGCAGGCAATATTACCGGCAAGCACATCCGCAGTTAGCTGTGCAGCTGATGAAGATAGGGAAACTGGAAAATTATCTCCATCAGTCGCAGAATGCATTCGTCACGTTCAAGGAGGTACAAACAGAGAGTTGATGCTGCAGCCCGTTTCTCTCTGCCTTGCATTGTAAACACCCTTCAGTGTTCATGCTGAATGCAAAGTGAGCTGTAGCAAACTAAAATCTAAACTACTTATTTTACCAGGTAAGGCCCACTGAGCTACTTATTGTAATTACAGTAGCTCATTTTCAGAAGAGACCTGGCCACAAATGATAACCCAACGAAGTGGCTTATCATGTGGAAATTTCTAGCAGCCAAATACTCTAAACGCGCGTTGATTCTAACTGGAGGGAAAAACCGGATGACCCGGAGAAAAATCTACACGACCATGGGGGACATGCAAACTCCAAACATACAGGCGTCATTGGTGTAATCGAACCCACGACCTCCTGTATATTAGGCGAGGTAGTTAACAGCTCACCACCATGGTGCTCAAGCAGAGCATCATCAGTATTTGTGTCTGGTCTGCTTTTTATTTTTTTAAGTGTACACAAAAATACTTCTGCGATTACATCGGTGACAATTTGGAAGAGAAAAGTGTTGCTTTGTTGAGTACAAAGTCATTTTGCCTCGTCTCTTGGAGCATTTTGGGTAAAAAGCATGCACGATCAAAACTCCGCTCTGCGTCTCCACATATTAATAAAGATATATTTTTAGTTCCAGCAGCATTTGTTTAAGTGAGGCAAATGCTGGACCAGTTTCGACCTTCTCAGTCTCATCAGCAGTCACGCTTATTTAATAAAAAATGTTGCCGGGTTGTTCTTGGCAAAAGCACTGTTATCTAAAAAGATTGCGGTCCTGATTGTCAGAAAAAGCAATGTTCATATTCAAACTCAGTATGCATTGGCGTGGACCATTTTGGATAGAAGTAAATCTAAGTGCAAGTCAATTTTGTATCTCCACTTGAAAATTAATTAAATTTGCCATCAACGAATTGGACGTTTACAACGCTTTGTTGCAAGCCGCTGATTAAACGTTAAATTTAAAAACCAGACATTGCAAACCTGAGCTGTGCATACCGGATTGATTTGCATTTCTAAAGCAGGTGGCAAGTGCATTGTTATTGTACCAGCTGCAAAAGTTACCTAAACCCTTAACGGTCAAATTAGAAAGATCCACAAGCACGGTGATGCAGCAGTGCAAGTGCTGTTTACCTCCCTGATCAAATTATTTGACATTAACACTAAAGGTTTGCAATTCTTATTTTATGTGGGAAGAAAAATGCCTCGGTCCAGTAATTACAGCAACAAAAGGGGTTCACCTTTCCTAATGCGTAGAACAACCAATCTGCCTTGTGTAAATGTTAATGATTATTCTCACAGTCGCTGCTTGTTGCTTGGAAGTACACAGGCATCGCCGAGGGTGAAAAGGCAAAGCAAGGTAAAGGGGCGGCCCTCTAAATTGCTGCGCACATGCCGCTGTTGGCAGAAGCTCCTCCTCCACTGGAGGGCACCTTTGAGAGGCCCCCTCTAAGGGGATATGTTGACCTAGCAATCAACACTGGCGGCCAGTCATCTCGGAAAGCTGTCGGGAGCTGCCCACATTTTACCCCACCACCTGCCGATACGCTGTGTTGCTACACCCCCTTTATAATGCTGGGGCCCACAGCTGCGGGCGGTGGGAGGGGAGGCGGGGGGCGGGGGTGGGGGTTAAGAAACTTGCCACCGCTGTTTCAAGCGCCACGCCGGGAGATCGAACCTCTGGCTTGGATTGGCAATAGTCGAGCGCGCTGGCAGTAGCGCCGCGGCAGCGTCCAGCATCAAAAGCCCGACAGTGGCAACGCGTCAAGGTGGCCGAGCAGTTTTCACTCGTCGTGCCGAGGCTTTCCTGTGCGCGATGACATTCTCCTGCAGAAAGCACGCGCATAGTGCTTAGGTCATATCGGTCCGAGGTGGGATGGATTCTTTTATTTTTTGATACACACTTTGAAATGCCGGTGTGCTCAGTCCTTGCCTTCCTGTTCACAGACTTCCTCTCTCCCTCTCTCCCTGACCCCCCCCCCCCCCCCCCCCGTTTTGTTCCCCTACCACCGCCCCCGCCAGGCCTTTCAAATGATGTGCATGACGCACGGCAAGGAGCACTCTCTCTGCCGGCGTCTCGAGCGGCTCCTGAGCGAGTGCGAGCGCTGCCAGCCGCGAGCGAGCGCGGCCCTTTCTTTCATCGCACCGTGAAGCCGCGACGGTGGGAGGCAAGCGCCGCCGAGGGCCAGGAGTGCTGCCGTAGGAAGCCGAACGGGGGGGGGCGGGAGGGGCGGCACCGCACCCCCGCGCGCTTCGCTCGCCTGCTCTTGCCGCCCCTCGCGAGGGGAAAGGCGACGGGGAGCGGTCTACGGGTGCGGTAGCTCCTTTTATTCCATTACGATTCGCTGGCCTGCGTACGTGTACAAACTGTTGTCGAGAATTTTAAGACAATAACTTTAGCCGTGAAGTGTTTCCCCCCCCCCCCCCTCCAAAATTTTCGTATCTATTCAAGCTATGACGCTGGAATAAAAGAGATTTTTTTGCGAGTTGTTTAAGCTCAAACTTAGAACACACGGTGTGCCAAACATTCGGCCACGGCAGCATCCGGAACTCGCCGGATCGTTTCTTCAAATCGTGTCCACTCGTCAGTAGGAATTGGGTACATCACCACAGGCGAACCTGCAGGTCGTGTGTGGTGGGTTAAAGCGAAGGGGTACTCTCACCTCCAAGTCGTCTGGTGAACATGGAAGAGTAGGCCCGATAACCTCTTTAAAAGGGCCTCGAGCTCTTCGTAGTGGAAGTTCCTCTGCCAGCAGGTGGCGTAAGCAAATAATATCAGGGCTGCACCTTTAGCTTTGACGTTGGTAAGAAATAAATACCTCTTTGCAGATGCCTCTCAAAAACGACTCTTGGCAGCTGTGGAAATGACCACCGGTCTGTCCTTTCCGCACAAACTGCCCCCATTCCAAGTCTGCTGGTCCGCTAGGCTTTCTCAACGTTCCGTTTACAATGTTTCTGACAACGTGGCTAGACCAAGCGATGGAAACGTTGCGGGAAAGTTGGAACGCCCACGCCCGAAAAAGCCCGACGGAGCTTTTGGTGAAAGTGTGCGGTGGTCGGCTTCCACGGCCCACGCTGTCGTGCCGTGTGCACGCTTGCTCACGCCCCTGCCGCTGGGAACGCGCGGAGACGCGGCGCCGCGTGGTGGAGAGACGGGGCTGTGGTGTAGCGCCAGGCGTGATTGAACTCGTCAGGAGTTTAGCCGATTTTAAACATTCCTAGGATTGTTGGGTGTTTGAAAAAAAAAAAATCTACAGTGCTTCTCTTGGGTGGTTCATGATAAATTTGGCGCGACTTCGTTAAGCCGAGTGGTTACCTGGAGAGGAAAGAAAAATACAAGATAATCCCAAGTACCACATCCTCTTTTGAGCTGTAAATTAATGTGAGCTTGCCACGAAATTGAGAATTTTAATTCCCAGAGAGAGCAATTATATAAAAGACATGAAATGTGAAGGTGCAGGCATGCTCTTGCTTGCTCGTTCCACTGTTGGCGGTGAGGCCTCCACTCGTCAGAGCTCTAGAGAGCCACTCGGAGGGTAGTTTGGCTTGCTCTCCAAGCTGAATAGATGTTTTGCAAGAGGTGGGAGTACCCACGATTTTCCCCACCAAACATGGCATGTCGATCGACAGTTTAAATGTACCCATGTATACTGCTGGGTGGGCAGAAGTGGGGGGGGGGGGGGAGATTTCAGAGACTTGCCCATCATTTAAAAAACGTGTACGCTATGCATAGGTCTTGTTTGGTGGGAGAAGTGGTCTGGTGGTGTGGGTCGTACACTGTGCGCAGTGAACCTGGCGACTTGAATTTGTCTCCTGGCCATGGCTAACGTCAGTGGTGAGTGATATCTGAACCGGTCCTGGGCTCCCTTTCACCAACCCACACTGACCAGTGCGGTGAAGTGTGGTCAAGCTAACCCGCATGACTGACAACACTGGTGGATTGATAAGGCCTCTGTTATATATATACTTCACGGTGATCTCGAGGTTTACGTTTTTGATATAAAAAAAACACTTACATTTTGAGATGGAGCCAAGAAGGGGGCCTTCTTCCAGGGCGAGAGACTTTATTGGCCTTTCGTGGAATTTGAAGCAAAGCCGACGGCAACGCCCCTGCACTTTATTGGGGAGTGCCAATAGATTGGATATTTTTACTCGGGCGCGAAGCGGGCAGAAGGGCAGTTCGGTGCAGTCGGCGCCAATAAAGTGCTCTCGCTTTGATGAGTACATCAGCGGTGCATTGTATAAAATAGACATTTATATACAGTAAAGCAAGTTTTGGATGGATTAGATGTATTCGGTGTTAATATAATGGGATTAATACGTGAATGACTTCTTCCTCCGAAGGGAAGGTACAACTTTAGTCCAGCTGACTTGTCAGGGAATGCACAGTGGAGCACATTTCTGAACCACTAAATAATCATTCGGGTGGAGCGATGGCCTAGTGTTTAGCGCTGTGCAATATGAACCCGGTTACCTCGGTTCGATACCCGTTCACGGTTGGCCAGGGGCGGAGCCAGGATTTTGACTTTGGGGGGGCTGACTTCAATATTCTGAGATATCCAGTGTAATGTTTTCCAATGGGCGCCACAAATGTATAAAACAAATTTTATTGGATTTGAACGCGGAGTTTATTAATATGTCGGAGCCGCTGGTGTGGCTAATAAGTTCGATAAGTTCGAAAGGCTGCCGCTCAAGCAGCCTGCAGGGCAGCACAAGGTGGCAGCCTGCAGGGCAGCACAAGGTGGCAGCCAGCAGGGCAGCACGAGGTGGCAGCCTGCAGGGCAGCACAAGGTGGCAGCCTGCAGGGCAGCACAAGGTGGCAGCCTGCAGCATTTTTCAGCAGCCGGATATCCGGTTATCTCGATTACCGACTTTCCCAAAATTTCAGGGGGGGCTGAGCCCCCCCCCAGCCCCCCCTGTAGCTCCGCCCCTGCGGTTGACATCGGTGGCCCCCACCTCGCCCCTACCCACTTCTCTTCGCTAATCCACACTCATCAGCATGGTGAAATATGGTCGTACAAACCCCATAATCGATAGCATGGGGGGACTCATCCAGATGTGCGTTGATGATTTCACAATACTCTCTTAAGTCAACGAAATGGATAATGGCGATGCAAAGCTAGCTTGCTTCATCAACAATTTCAGCATCTTCAACAATGAGATGCCATGGCAATGCAATCGGTATCCTCGACTCAATCATAACAGCTGTCACTTCTATGGTCTTGTGGAAAAAAAAATATCAATCGACCTTTGAAGGCCTCTCCATGCCACGTTGGTCACGGGGTTGTGAATGGGGCAGGCAAGGACCGGTTCAGATAATCGCCGACCACTCCGCCGCGGCCTGATCTCGAACTCGGGCCGTTGAGTTCGTAGCACAGCGTGTAAGCCACTGCTCCATCCCTCCGTGCATGGGTCGGTGAGCTAAGTGTATATTGGCACACTTGGGTTTTATGCTTTAGCTTAATGTTCACAACTTAATGATGTCAATATACCATGTCCTAATACTTTGTAAAAGCATGTTGTCTGTTTTTTTTTTTTACAGATTCTTTGTAATAAAAATTTTAACAAAATCCGTTGGTTACGATGGGTTTATCAAAATGTACTGCTACTTGCGCTGTTGTACCGAACACGACGATACACCAAACACCTGATTTAGCGTTGCTGTTATTTATACAGGTAATTGATTTAAGTAGTGATTTAACACTAGTGCACAATACGCTACAACCCGCAATAAGATGCCAGTGGGAATGCTGTAATTTCTAACGCGTTATAAAAACGAGAAACACCATCATTTACCATCATCCGTGCAAGGGTATCGCGTAGCTCGGTAGAGCAGGGCGGCGCATACAAACCCTAATTGCTCTCAATGGATAAATATGGTCCATACACATTGGCGAATTACATAGTGCTCAAAATTAAATCGCCTGCATTTTTGTGCAGACGCGTTCACGCGCAGATTGTGTGTGCGGTGGGGTAAAGTGTAAGTGCGCCCGCCTCGATCAAGACGTCTGGCGAGCGTGCAAATGTAGGCGAGCTATCCTCCAATGGAGGAGGGGAGGGGGGGGGGGGCTCTTGAAGAGTGTTGTTTTTTCTTCTCGTGGAGGCTTCCGCCAGCAGTGGCGTGAGCGAGCAGTTGCAGGGCTGCGCCTTTTGCCCACCTACGCGTTGACGTGATTTCATCGTCTTGACAGAAGCAGTGCAACCAATCTCCCCTCTAACTCCCTCTTATGCCTCGCATTGCATGGCTGTTTATTTTTTGTTGTTGTTATGGGGCACGCGGGGCCGATTAAATGTTGCAACAGCAAAGGTTATCTTTGCAATACACGATGTTGCTCGTGTCTGTTTACAAAGTATCTGAAGGGGTGACGTCCATGCAAATGCGCGCACAAGCCAGCGTCGTCACTGGTGTAATATACGGCAGCGGTGTCATTAATTCAAGGCATGCCCATTGCGCTGGGGCTTCACAGTAGACCGCCGTGGGAATTCAGTGTAGGTCAAGCTCGACACAGTCTCAAAGTCAACCCATTCACTCACAGTTGCCCGGGATTGCTGTGGTTGACAGTATAAACACGTTGGTGTTGTTGTTTGTGTTGGTGTTGTTGACGTTGGTGTTTGTGTTGGTGTTTATGTCGTTGACGTTGTTGGTGCTCTTATTGTTGCTGTTATGCTACTCACACGTTGCAGGTCAAAGCGCTCTGCCTCTTTCCTCGCACGGTCCAAGTTTGTAATTCCCTGCCAAGCGGCTCCCATTGCCACGTTCCCCTGAACCTCGCGCGATTCAAGGAACGTCTCCCCCCCACCCCCCATCTCTCACACCTTCAGTGGTGCCCACTTGTTACTGGCCGCTTGTCGCAGAAGCGAACGTTGGCGTAGGCCGTCGCTTTTCACAAAGTGCACCGCGCGAAGGCCGTGCCGAGTACGACAACCTCTCGTCAAAGAGGTCGTTCTGCCCAGAAGCAGCCTCCTGCCGGAGCAGCGGTGTGCTCCCCAGGTTGCATCGCGAACCTGGCCAGCAAATGGACATCGTCGATCCCTTTGGTCCTTCTCGTGATTGCACCGGCAGGTCACCCCCCTTGTGCGGTTGCAAGCGCGCCCACCGCACATATTCTCATACCGTGTCGACCCATACGGGTTTACCCGTATTCTTGTGCAGGGAAATTGAGTGTTTGGTCGTTTGTGTGTTTCTCCCTTGTGAAGGGACTTCGTAGGGTGAACGTTGAGATGTATCAGGGACCACGGGGTGACCAATGAGGCCTGCTGAATTGGTCTGTAATAAAGGTAGGGCAGCACTGATGAGGGGTTGACAGCTCTGGATGCCGTGCCCCGTTTTAAAGCAGGACTTTGATTTAGCCCTTCTTGTGCACACGTGGTCCTGTGGGGACGGGGGGCGGGAGGAGGGGAATGTGGAGTTTCCTTCATCCGCGCAGCGTCGGCTTTTGGCTGGACATCGAACAAAGACGGTGGCCACTTTTCCAGGTGCGCCGCTTGCGGCCGTCTGGAACGCTCTTCCGATATTCGGAAGCTGTGCAACTTTAAAATCATCTAGATTGAAACACTAATTTCTGAAGAGCTGCTTTTTTGTATTTAGTGTTGTCCTTCTCCCGCACCTCCGATTAGCACGGTTGGCTACGTACGGTGCGAAAAGTTCAACACACAAACAGCATTACATGCAACACACAGAGAACGAGTGGTCAACCCCCCACTCCCGCAGAGGACAGCTCTTGGGTTGTATTTCTTAATGGCTGGCAGTAACCCGTATCCAGAGTGGCAACAGGGAAATTAGAATTGGCACGCTGGCACTTGCACATAAAAACTCCAAACGCCCACCGAGCCTCTGAAGGCTCATAACAACCTCGACAATGCGCCACCCACTACTGTTTTTTTGCTCAACAAATATGATTATTTACGATACGCAAATATGTTTTGGGTAATTGAGTAATGTTTAAACGACGCTTGCGAGGAGTTGGTATAAACCGGGCATCTGGTGGCATTTCATTCCGCTGTTTTTTGGTGCGTTCAAGCCGGAGAGAAATACTCTTCCTCTCTCAGGGGTCCTGCGAGTTAGGACTGATTACCCTGACTTTCTGCCAAGTTTTACACGGAGGCCAAAGTGTGGGAAGGATTGGGCTCCGCGTTTTACTACGCCCGTGTTGTGGTAGGAATAGCTCACAGCGGCTGAATAGATGCTTATCGCCCATTGTAACGGCATGCCCTTACATAACATGCCCCGATGGCACGGTGGGGTTTGTACGCATTAAGAGTTTCAATTATGTATGGCTTCAGCCATGGCCAATCCACTGCTGGATGACCCTCCCAAAACCGCGGCAACCTCATGATCCTGCGATGCAACAATTCATTCCACGCCTGCACCTTCACATTCACGGATTGTATCGCTCCTATCTGCTCAGTGTACGCGTTCTCGGATACGTTCTATCCCGTGGCTGCCACTCCGTTATGACTCTCGACCATCGTCCCGCCATCCTTTCCCAACACGCCGTCGTGGACTGTGAAATATCGCCGTAATTAAAGCAGTATTACTCATTCCGTGTCCTGCTAAATAGTCATTATTACTGAGAGTAATAAGAAGGGATGTTTTTTTCTCTCACAAGTGTGCAATATAAATGCATTTATAAAAAAATTAAATGCGTGTGTAGCTATTTACAGCGCCTGCAACAGCGATCCACTGACGAATAGGCTACACGTCCGCTCGTGATGCCTCATTAAAGTGATTAAGCAGCAAATTCGTATGATGAATCCCAGCAACAGCGATAAAATAGAATGAAATCCATTAGAGTAATTAAGAACCATGTTGGTACAATTTCTCGTGTTGTAATATTCCTACTTCCCTGGGTTTTAGCCGTTGCACTCGACAGCTCTCCGGTGTGTTTTTTCGGTCTTGCCGCCTATCGTTTGGTACGATGTCCGACGTTTCGCTCCACTGGGCTGGGGGCCGAATTGAGTGGCTCACTTTGTCCCTTTATGATATAACATCGCTGGCTGCTATGACTGACAGACAACAAAAACACACATACGCACTTCTATGCCTGTTTGTGTGTGCGCAAAACGTTATAGTGGACACAAGGCTGCACTCCCAACCCACAAACCAGGGTTCGATTCCACACTATAATGTTGAGAGACTGCATTGGGTTCACAACCTTGCATGATCGCCCAATATATATAGAAAACAATAATATTAATTGGAATTAATTACCCACAAAAGCCTCACCTATTCAGGAGGGTCCTGCTTTCGGATGTTTGGCCAATTTTTTTGGTGAATGACGTGTGGGATGAAACTAGAGTTCCTGGAGACAACAAACGCATACAAGGGGAGTAACACGCAAAGCTCTGCACAGATAGATTCAACGATCCATTGCTACACTTCCATCTTATGGACACCTCGCAGTCC